ATGTCTTACCAATTAAAAAAATGAGATTGCGTATGAGCAAGACACATTTTTTGAATAGGCATTAATTTTACTTTTATTCGAGGTGCCTACGTACTTACAAAATTCCATTTAAATACCTTAAAAATGGAAAAAATTGGATTGCGGATGTGTACCAAATTTGAAAGCGATCGGACATTTCTAAACAAAGTTATCGTTCACATGGAGAGATAGATGGACAGACAAAGGACCAGACGGACAGACCAACAGACAGGCGACAGACAGCAATACAAAATTATAAACGATCTCTAGGATCGTTAATAATAAATAACGAACTAAATAGCGAAAAAGGTAGAACAATAGCTCTTAAGATAAAGAACTAGTAGCGGACAGACGCATTTTTTAAATTTTTGTGGAAATGCGCTAAAAAGGAAGGTATACTGGGTGATTTGTTTTTTAAAAAAAGTGAAAAATGAATCTTATAAAGTAGCTAAATTGAAATTGAGGAATAGAACCGAATATGCGCGCTAAAATTCGATTTGAAGATTCGTGGTTCGTATTTTCTAAAAGGAAAGGAAGTAGCAATCCGAATGTATTTTTCCAAGAAAACGCCATCGGCCGCGACTAAAGAAATCAAAGATTACCCCTTGTTTTGTCCCCGAGGAACACGCGTTTTTTTCTTCTTTGCCCTATACTCAAATGGGCCATAATTTACAATAAACCCCAAACAAATTAGACTGTAAATGTACTTGAGAACATCAAACTGTTACAAAACTGGACGCGATTGGAAATTAGTACAGTGACCGTGGATCAGGATACGAACAAAATACTAATTAAAATCTGCTTGTTGATTTGTCTCGGAGGTGGAGTAAGTAATGTAAATACATCAAATTAATCACGGTGTTCCTAATTGTTTATAAACAATGTAATTTATAAAAAATACCTATTTTCACCGGTTTCTTTATTATTTCGACAAGTGTATGCAACCGGGCGGGAATCTATCACCGGAAAATTGTAAGTCTTTGAAATACGAAACTTTTGAGACCTTACTCGTTAAGATCAGATTTGCGGTTTTTTTTGAAAATTGCAAAAATGTAGCAAATATGAAAATATTTATAAACTTTGCAAAAATTGATGTTACCATCGATCAAATCATGTTCAAGTATACTCTCACATATAAATATACACTTGAAACCCGATCCAGGTGAGCGGAATACTTTTCGAGATATTGCGAATTTACTGAAAAACAGACCTTGTTTTGATGAAAAATATAATAACATTGAATTGTGATAGAGAATCCATTCTGATCGCATTTTGAAGGGAATTTTATGTACTTTCGAGGGGAGGAAGAGCTGTTTGCTTATTTCCGTTGTTTAAAATCGCTATTAGTGAACGTGAACGTGCAAAAATTAAATTTGCAAAAACAACGATAACTTGGTGAGTTTTGATCGTATCATGTTCTAATTTCTCTGGTTCTCGCGTGCCGTAAAAAATATCAATAACTCGTGTTCTATTGGTCGTAAAAGCATGATTTTTTTAATTCGGGGTATCTCGATGAGAAAATAGGATTAAAGTTGTCAAAAATCACAAATAATTGTATCTTCGATCGGAATTATCCATTTTTTGTTTTTTGTATTGACGTATATATCTACTCGTAATATTCATGTAGAAGTAGACATAGAGATTTCGTATAGGAATTTGCTATGTCTACTTCTACATGATAAAAAGTCTAGTGAAAGACGCCTAATTTTATGCAACCAAAGTAAATACCTATAACAAATGAGGATCTACTTGTTATATTAATTAATTTGTATATTATCGCTTTGACATCCCTATTCTAATTTTCGTTCGTGTGCGATGTATTAAACTAAAGAAAAAGTTGATATTTCCAATTGGTATAGTGCCGATAACAGTTTAAGGAGCTTAAGAGATTTATTTTCTGTGAAGCTAAAGCAGCAATATTCAAATAATAATTAATATGACAGCCAGATCTTTATTTGTTTCAAGAAGTTATTTTGGTTGCATAAAATTAGGCGTCCTTCAGAAGACTTTTTATCATTGGAAAGTGGACATTAGAAATCCCTATGTCTACTTCTACATGAATATCACTGTAAGTATATACCTCCATATACAGTGAGTTTTTTTTAATGGGAACATAGGAGTTTGCATGCAATGTAATTTTCCTATGTTCGATTTTAAAAAAAAAACACATAAATCTATGAGGTGTGCGCGGTTCACATTCCCAAATCGCGCAACTTGTGTGACTATGAACAGCAACTCTAATAGGCTTTATGATGAAGAGCGCTCGGTAAGATTTTTTTAAAGAAGTCATGTGAGGCCATAGCAACTTTAGGATACATTTTTCTTAAACTTACGATAACTTGACCTCACAGGCCACGCACTGACACCACAACTCATTGTGGACCCACCTTCAATTATTTGTAGGTCATGTGCACCTGGTATTCTACTAATTTGATCTATTCAATACATAAATGAAGAAAATAAGAAAATAAATACCGAAAACAATTACAATAAATATTCGAAGTCTCCTCCTTGACATTCTAAGCAATAACCTAACCGATTTCGTAATTAAATTGGACGGCGGTATTTTTAAAAAAGTGACAGCTGTCAATTGTATCTACTGCTCATTTGAACTACTCAATAGATTGATGTGTTTTCTTTTAAATCGAACATAGGGAAATTACATTGCATGCAAACTCCTATGTTCGCATTTAAAAAAATTCACTGTATGTTAGAATTTATATTTTGTAGCTGTAAAGTAGAATGTAAAAAACCATGCAGTTGTAGGAAGTATGGAATGAAATGTACAAATTTATGTAAGGGTTGCGGAGGCATAACTTCCACCAATTCTCAGCCTATTCAAATTGTTGTTGATGATATACATGACGACGATTCCGAAGGAATTGACGGGTATGATAAAAACGATGATAGCAATGAGGATGATGAAAGCGTTGGTTCGGTACGCGTCAACTCGCCAACAGGACAATTCGCCACTGCGACAACTCGCCAACCAAATATTTTTCCCTGTTTAATGTGTCGTTCAAATAACGATGTGATTGTCAAATTTTCTGTTCAAATAATAATTTGCAGAAGATGTCGTTATATCAAAATGCAGTAATAGAAACAGTTATTGGCGGTTGGGTCTTCATTCAAATATTGACTACAATTTTTCGATAAACTTTGTTTACAAAATTTGGGAAATTGACTATTGCATTTGTGATATGCATTATTTTGTATGACACATTAAACTGGGAAAAATATTTCGTTGGCGAGTTGTCGCAGTGGCAAGTCGTCCGTTGGCGAATTGTCGCATTGGCGAATTGTCGCGTTGGCGAGTTATCCTGTTGGCGAGTTGTCCCGTTGGCGAGTGGTCCGGTGGCTAGTCGCCCTTGGCGAGTTGACCGTGCTCGCAAAAATCTTATCTTGAAAGCATTAAGTTACTCCGCGCAATCGTTGACTCACCCTGTACATAAAAGTACCTTCAAAATGCGATCAGAATGGATTCTCTACCACAATTCTCTGTTATTATATTTTGCATCAAAAAAAGGTCTGTTTTTCAGTAAATTCGGAATATCTCGAAAAGTATTCCACTCACTTGGATCGGGTTTCAAGTATATATTTATAATAATATGTGAGAGTATACTTCAATTCATGATTTGATCGATGGTAACATAAATTTTTGCATAATTTTCCGTTGATAAATTCATGCCCGGTTGCATACACTTGTCGAAATAATAAAGAAACCCGTGAAAACAGGTATTTTTTATAAATGACATTGTTTATAAACAATTAGGAACAACTGTGCGTGATTAATTTGGTGTATTTACATTACTTACTCCACCTCCGAGACAAATCAACAAGCCGATTTTAATTAGTATTTTTTTCAATTTTCCCTGTGTCATAATCCGCTGTGACTGGACTAAATTATGATATTTAGGCGAGCTCGAGCTATGCCGAGTTCGCTTTCCGCTCGCTGGGTATTTATGCGAGCTCGAGCTATGCCGAGCTCGCCTTCCGCTCGCTCGGTATTTGTATGAACTCTTTGTTTTGTGATAGCGTACCACGCTGGAGAATATCGGGAGAGCGGTTGAATTATTATTGGTCTGAACTCAGTGTTTTGTGACCAGAACCGTATAGCACTCCAGAATTTCGAGTGTAGTAGGTGGACAATGGTTCTGTCTGTCCGTCTGTGTTTGTCACTCGTTTTCTATATTGGTTTGAAACCGTTTATTTATTTTTTTTCTTGTTCCTACTTGGAATAGATTTGCATTAAACGCTTATGAATAATCGATACAGTGCCTGTATACAACAAACTTTCGACTAGAAGTTAATAAATATATTGCAATGCGTTAAATCAAAATAAAATCACAAAAGAAACCAATTTACCAACGAACTGCAAATGGCGAAATGCCCAAACTGAGCTTTTCTCATTATTATTCCGTATGCACCAATTTCATAAGGTTATTAAAGCTTAATTGCACGGTAGGGTAAAAACCAATGTTAACTTTAGCGTCTAACACGCTTCATTTTATCGCTTTGTTATTACCGCTAATAAAGTAGGCGCCATCATTTAGGCTCAAAAACGCGCCACCTTCATAATTAAAAGTAATAAGCGCAGGGTAATGAGCTCGGATTATTCTCTATAAGCTTCGCCCTTAATAAATACATTTAAAGAAGTTTGCGAATAGAATGACTTAAATAAAACAATGCCCTCTTTAGCAGGAGTTCTTGCGTTGTGCATTGGGGGAATTGGAATTTTTTCCCGTGAACTAAAGCAGATGTTTTTATAGAACCCGTATATTTGTAAATCAGGCACGGGTGCACACATAATAAATGTAGATTGTCATTATATTCCGGTTCGAAAAGTGGGTGTGTTATTTTTTCCCTCGTCTCCGAAACTCAATTTCATTTCGCCGTTAAAACTATTAGCTCGCGGTTTAGATTTATTCAGGTTTCGTGTTTCTCATTTGCTAATGTTTTCTAATAATATTTATTCGTTTCAGGTAAATGTGGCACGAACCTCCTCAACAGTCGCCAAAATGTGCAGTGCTGCAGCAGTCGTCCAAGCAAAGAGGGCCCGCCGAAGGATCGTCGCGTCTACCGTTCGCAAGACGTTGCGCACCCCAATCACCTTCACGTCGTCCATTCCTGCACTTTCCACCACCCCCTAAGCACCCACCCCCGCATTCGGTTAATCCTAGAATGTCCGAGGATCACTTGCTGAGCGTTCCGGGACCCTCATCAGCACGTCAACCTCACGAGCCCTCTTGGGAGGTTCCTAATGACTACTCGTACGCTTACTACGAACCGGGACCGGCTAAGAAACACACAAATATTCCTAATAAGTATCCCGGTGGTGCACCTCGGGATGGAGCTTACAGAGAGGGTTCTTATAGAGCCAAACACACCTACTTAACAAGGTACGGCACCGAGGAGAATATCTACGAGGAAATTAGCGAGGTAACCAGAGCTAGGATGCACGCCGCCGCCCAGCATCAACAGTCGATTATATCCCTCAACCAAAGCCTCGTCGAGGAGGAAGTGCGTAGAGTGCAATCGGGACACAGACGCGTCCTCGGCGAACTGAACCTCTCCGTCGAGGCGATGCTTATGCCCAACTCTCGCGAAGGTAGTGACGATACCGACCGGGAAACGGACGACCAGCTCGCGGACCTACTAAGTGTCGGGCCTACGGACGAACTTCTATCGCCGATTCCGCCGGTGGATTTAGATAGTGGTTTCAGTGGTAGTTCTAGTGGTGCTAGTTATCGAAGTGCGGCCGGTAGCCTGCGGAGGGGTCCGCCCGATCGGAACAAGTGCTGCAATGCCGCGACGTCGAAAACTTTACCTTCGGATGGTACGCCGTCGAAAAGCTTCTGGAATCGAAAGGCGTGGAAGAAGCTGGCGGGGTTTTCCAGCAACGTCAATGTAAATAAGCAGCAAGGTAAGCCGATGATCGAATAAGGTCGAGTAACGAGATTATTCGAACACACCTAATCAAAATCTAAGGGGTGAACATTTTGATGGTGGAGGGGGTCTGTCTGCCTCCACCCTCATTAGCCCAAAAATTACCCATTGTACCCTACTGTGCCACGATTGTGCATTTATTTTTACGGTTTGTGCCTTTTTGGTTTTACAAATATTCAAATCCCCCCAAAAAATTAAACTATACGCTTGCCCCCCCCCCCCAATGAAACTTTATTTTTTAAATTTTTAATATAATATATAATATACCTAGATACAAACGTTACCTATTTGGTAAGATGCACAGCTACTTCCTAGTTGGACAAATTGGGACCATGTTGGTGCACCGTCTCATTTCGGCTCATGCGGAAAAAAAATGTTCTGCTTAAAGTGGAGCTCGAATTAGTAGCGGGAGGTTGTTGACTGATTTACTGCGATGCACTCTGGGTAGACGGTGTGACTTAAAAATTGTCAGGTTAGATGGAACGAAAATAAAATTTAATTTGCCAAAATAAATTACAATTACGCTCGCAATTAGGTTACATTCATCGTGTGCCATTTGGTTTAAACTGAGGTTTAAACTTTCCGCTGTCGCCGGAGTCGGTGTCGGCACCTCGAGCGCCACCAGGAGATTCTCGCACCTTGTCTCTGGTCAAGGACGGTCGGTTCCGTTTGCGGAAGTTTGGAAGCCAAGGTCTTGCGGGCAAATGGAGAGGTTGATAAAGTTAGCACCCCCACTTTGCCCAAATCAAGTAAACATATGCCTATAATTTAGAACTAATTAAAGACTAATTTGTACCCACAACATTATAATTTGTACCCGTTTAGTTCCGCTGGAAACCCGATTCTAAGGTGGGGTGTGCTAACTTGAACAAATTAGCACCCCCACTTTTCCCGATTGAAATTTTATTAGTCGCATCAAAAACTATGAATTAAAGACTAATTTGTACCCAAATTAGATTTTCATTGTTTAAACAATTTATACATTATTTAAAGAATTTTTTACTAAAAAAGGGCAATTCTCAAAATTAATAAAAAGAAATTGGACGTATAAATTAAAGACTAATTTGTACCCACAAAATTAAAATTTGTGCCCGCTTGGTTCCGTCGGGAAACCGATTTTGAGGTGGGGGTGGTAACTAGACATCAACTTAGCGCCACCACTTTTTCCGATTGAAATTTTATTAGTCGCATCAAAAACCATGAATTAAAGGCTAATTTGTACCCAAGTTAAATTTTCATTGTTTAAACAATTTATACATCATTTAAATAATTTTTTAGTAAAAAAGGGAAATTTTCAGAATTAATTAGAATATGTACGCGCTTGGTTCCGCCAGAAAACTGATTTTGACGTAATAAGCATTAAAAGACCGCCTGGCATAAATTCAAAATATACGCTGTATAATGCAAGAAGATTCAACCCCCTAGAAAAGTTGTCCGCAATCTTGCATTTTCCCTTCCGTTGACACCCCATTTTCGAGATATACACACTAAATAAATCTTCTGACACTTTTCGAGATATTCGCTCTTAAAAGATTTGGACATCACTAATAGATATATTTCTTCCAAACGTACCAATCGCCCTTGGTGACTACCCTCCTCCGACCCTTCGCTCTAGAGATATTAGAACGAATCACGTTAGAGTCGAGGAGGACAGTGGTTGGTAGCAACTAATTACATTAGAATTTGATTAGAATACCGTGAAAGATAAAATAAATTTCTAACCCCCACCCCCTATCCCCGTCACCTACTCATCTTAAAAAGGAGTCGCGGATGAAAGTTATAGTTTGTAGAACCAATTCCTTTCGATGAGACGTTTGATGAGAAAACCATGCACGTTACAGTTTCCTTGTGGGTACAAACAATACATTTATAACAGTCTTACTTACTTTGTAATAGCATTAAATGGTAATAGTTAAGTCTTTTTATTTATCACCTACAATTTACATAATACGAGAGAGAACTTAATACTTCACTTCGAATCGAAGTTAGAACTGACTCGAAAGTTCGAAACATAATTCGATTTGGTTATATAGCAAATGCCGGTCTTTTTCGAAAGTTCTCGAACGCTTCCGAATATTAGCGAATGTTCTCGAACAAACAAACACGCCATATTTCCCGGAAAAATGAGTAACATCCGCTTGCTATGCCTATGACTAATCTTTTATGGTCCCTCAATGTCTATCGGGATTTCTAGAATATTCCCTACAATACACATTTAACTGACTCGAAAAGATTACACGCTCATTTTTCTATTGGAAGTTGCCTTACTTTTTTCTGGAACTGGAACAGCACCTATAAACAGTTTTATGCCCCGCACTCGTGGCGATTTACTGGTAATAGATGGCGATGGAGTAGGATGTGGAGTCCTCAAGATTCATATTTATGCGCTACGAGGATTTTTTTGTTCGAAACTACCAGTATATTTATAGACTGAGAGATAACGACAGATTTTGTGTGATGATTTTTAAACGTCTGTCACCGCAATTTTCTCTTTACGTAGGCTAGAACTACGTTATATCATACGTCTGTTGAGCGGTCCGTTCTTTTTTTTGTAATTTTTCAAATTTTAACAACACAGCAAATAAAAGTTTGTTTAATTCTTTTGATTAATTTTGAGAATTTCTCTTTTTTAGTGAACAATTGTTTAAATAAAGTATAAATTGTTTAAACAATGAAAATTTAATTTGGGTACAAATTAGTCTCTAATTCATAGATTATGATGCGACTAATAAAATTTCAATCGGAAAAAGTGGGGGTACAGTGCTTGATTTCAAGTTAGCACCAAGCACTGTACCACACCCACCAAGTGAATTAATGTCTCTTAAAAGTTTGCCAGAATGTATGTAATGCATAAAATCCGGTTTTACCAATTTTTGTAATTATACCTACAAGGCAGCGACGAAGAAACGCAACGACGACAATGCGCGACGCCCTTCCACACAAATTCCCGCCGGAAAAGTTACACTTCAATCAATGCTTCAACGTTTTTTTATTTTAGATAGTGTATGGTTGGTTGCCTAAGTGGCAGTAAGCTGGTTATTATCATTACTTTAGTCGGTGATCGTCCATGGAGTTCATCAGGACTTGTGGCCGGTCAATATCGAAAGTTCTTTTTGTTTACATAACCGTCCAGATGAAAATGTGCTTCGTCACTCATCATCAAAATGTTTTCATCGGTCATCAAGTCATTCATTGGCCCTGCAGATTTTTTTCCAATTTACATAGTCTTACATGGGCTTTAACTGCTGGAGAATAGCAATTTTGTATGGGTGGAAATGGCACACACATAAATAAACTAACAAAATTGATCAAAAACTCACATAAAATATCGGGAAATGTGAAGCATGTACCTACGCGGGCAAAGTTGATTTTTGGGATAATCACCAAATGAAACCTAACCCAAAACTAATAACGGACACGCAATTTCTAGGACCAGCTTGACTCTTGAGCACAACAGTCCAGTCACACTTTTTTCGTTTCGTCAATTAATCATTGAGCAAACATCGACTTCCAGATTCTTTTATTCGTTTAGATTCATTTTATAATTAATCGAATATGCCTGAAACGTTCGAGCGGCGCGGCGTTGAAAAACGTTAAGCAATCTAAACCGTATGGCGTCGAGAAGATGAAGTTTAATTATTTGCCACTGATTGTGATTAATAACTTTCTACTGTCAATGAATGGGTAATACTCCAAGTAATTTTCTATCGGATTGCTGCTCGATACTAGCACAATGCTTTCAATTTTAATAGTTCAGCTTTAATTCTCGCGTGAGAACAAAAGGAGCGCGAGTGTTAATACGTACATTGTAGCAGAGAACTTGCTTTCCATCCCCGGTACGTGGATGAATATTGTTCGGCATAAAACGACGATGAAAAAAAATTTCCCTGGAATAAATCAGGAAACTGGGGAAAAAATCATAGAAATCGGCACGTGTTTATTTTCATTTCCTTAACCTTCTAATAACACGGCAAGAAATTTTTTGCCTTTCAAAATATTTTGCTTATTTTAATAGCGTTGGGGAGCGACCGAGACCTACTCCAGATGCGAGTAATATTTGAGCTTTTACTCCATCAATTTGCAATAAAATCGGAATGTTATTTTGTATTTGGAAAAAATTATTTTTCGCGCTGTTTCATTTTATCGAAATAAATTTGTAGTCGCGGAAGAATCGATGGGAAAGTTACCTATGATCGTTTAATGAGAATATGAATTTGAAATATGTTCATTAAAATTTATCGATTAAATCCAAACTGTCGGAAAATTAATTAAGATTTGTGCGGCAAGTGATTGGTACTTGGAAATATATTGGCGTAAGTGAACGAGCTATTGCAGAGCCATTCTGCTCCGAGTTTAATTGATACAAATCTTTCCAGGGCTGTGAATGTCATTGTCACAACATATACACTTTGTTCAATATAAATTCTGGCGTCATTACTGCAGAAACCAACTTTCAATGATAGCTCCAGCCCTACCTATATGCGTGTTATAATTTTTTTATTGCCCTATTTTCACTCAGTTGGATTAAAAATGGAATAAGTTACAAAATTCATACTGATGATGCCTGATCGTATTATTTAAGTTTGATTTGTCAAACTTTTTGCAAAAAAGTATGCCGACGGCTAGCTCATGATTACTAATCTTTACTGCAATTAACTTCGAGGAAAGATCTTTTCGTTATACCTGCCTGAAAAAGTTATCAACTCGCCGCCTGATCTAAGCCACTTAACTGCAGACAACCAAAATCCGCTGTCGTTTTGTTTTGTGTAATAAAGTACGCTTTCTACACAAGTGGCCACTAATCCATTCTTTAAAATAAGTTCCAATCTTAAAAATAGGATGTTTTGGTGAATTCCTTTTGGACGGTTTTTCACATAAAATGTCTATCATGGGGATCTTCGGACGGTTAAATTATAGAAAAGAGGAGCAATTAAACAGTTACGCTTTAAACAAAACCAGAAAATTGGATTATTTCCG